GGGTCATCCCATGAATGGATAGTAAAGGAGGGGAAGTTTGCTTAGAGACTTTCAGGAACTTAGGTACAACATGGCGTTCATCCAATGGAATAGCCCCTGGTGCTGATTGTGTGGGAAATTGTCTTTGATCGCAGACGCTCGGCGCACTTTCCACACTTGAGCGTGACCCCTCCTTTCACCGCCCTGGCCTCGCTTAGTCATTCATCCTGCGGCAGAATTGATTCACGAAAAAAGTTGCCCACCTCGACGGATTATTCGTTTGAGCCTCGCAATATTGCATTTACCAAATCGTCCGCAGTGTGGGATCTCTCGCTGTAACACAAAGCCATGCAAGGCTTTCCTGTGGACCGTTCATCCTCCGATTTTGCTCTCCCCTGACGAGCAATGCCACCCAAGAGAAAGACCGATGGCGCGCTCGGTGCGCCATTACACGGCGCTCGAAAACCCATCCCAAAGGTAAACTGGACTTGCTCCTGTTCGCTAAGGAGGAATTTGACAGAGACAGACTCCCGCAGTGCGCAAAGCATCTGCTACAGATGGGGCGCCACTCGACGAGCGTGCCGCCCAAGACTCATTACCCGGGCAGACCCTGAAGGAAAACCCTAAGACTGGAAGACAGTCCCGAAGACCTCATCACCATGCAGACAGCTTCGATGCGGCGCTGGAACCTTTCTACTATGATAAATCCCTGACCGATCCTATCGATACTGCACGAGACAAATGGAACTTGCTCCCAGCTTTCCTGAAAGTGAAAGGGCTGGTCAAACAACATGTGGACTCATTCAATCACTTTGTTGACGTCGAGTTGAAAAAGATCATCGATGCTGAACCGATCATTACAAGCGACATTGACCCAAGATTCTACGTCAAATATGAAAACATTTACATTGGAAAGCCCTGCAGGAATGATGAGATGGAAAAATTCCAACTGAAAGAATTCAGGGAATCGACCGTCACCCCAAACGAGTGTCGTCTGCGCGATCTTACATATGCAGCTCCAATCTTGGTCGATATCCGATATACAAAGACCAGAGATGCATGGCGTCACAAGGCAGTACCAATCGGGCGCTTGCCAGTGATGTTGCGGAGTAACAAATGCGTTCTCGCCAACAAGTCGGAAGCCGAGATGTGCGCCATGGATGAATGCCCCCTGGACCCTGGAGGTTATTTCATTGTCAACGGCACTGAGAAGGTGATTCTAGTCCAGGAACAGCTCAGCAAGAACCGCATCATCGTCGAAGCCGATACTAAGAAAGACCTCATCACTGCCTCGGTCACTAGCTCCACCCATGCGAGAAAGTCAAAGAGCTATATCGTCCTCAGGAAGGACCTCTTGTATATGAAACACAACATTCTCAAGGAGGACATACCCATTTGTGTCCTGTTGAAGGCAATGGGCGTTTCCTCGGATATGGACATGATGAATATTGTTGCTGGCCTCGATAGGAATCTACAAGACGACTTTGCCATCAATTTTGAAGAAACGATCAAAACACAAATCCACACGCAACAACAGGCTTTAGAATACATCGGAGCACGCCTCAAGATTACTGCAAAGTCGACTCCCTTCGGACAAGCTCGCAGAAATTTTGTTCAGGAAGCTGTCGAGGCCATCAGTTCCGTCTTCATAGCTCATGTCCCGATCGAGGATCTCAACTTCAGACCCAAGGCCCTTTACGTAGCCCATATGGCACGTCGTGCCCTGATGGCAAAGCGAAACCCGGGCTTAGTCGATGATCGAGATTACGTGGGCAACAAGCGGCTGGAGTTGGCTGGACAATTGCTGTCTCTTCTCTTTGAGGACTTGTTCAAAAAGTTCAATTACGACGTCAAGCAGAAAATCGACAAAGAATTGAGGAAACAGAATAAAACCGCCTTGGTAGACCCTGTCAGGATCATGGTTGGAGCACAAGGCAATATCACTCAAGGCATGAACAGAGCAATCGCAACGGGCAATTGGAACTTGAAGCGATTTCGCATGGACAGAGCTGGTGTCACCCACTTGCTCAGTCGACTGAGCTTCATCGCCTCCCTCGGCATGATGACCCGCATATCGAGTCAATTCGAGAAGACACGCAAAGTCAGCGGCCCGCGGGCCCTCCAACCATCATCTTTCGGCATGCTTTGTCCTGCAGATACGCCTGAAGGTGAAGCTTGTGGTCTGGTGAAGAACCTAGCTTTGATGACACACATCACCACAGATGACGAAGAGGCACCGATCAAACGACTCATCTTTATGCTAGGTGCTGAAGACATAGTCACCGTCGGAGGATCCGAACTCTACTCTCCTGGTTCGTACCTCGTGCTGTTGAACGGTACTCCTGTAGCCGCCACTCGGCAACCCTCCCACTTTCTTTCTTCGTTTCGACGGCTCCGCAGATCAGGACGAATCTCCGAGTTCGTGTCCATTTTCATCAACCATCACCACAACACAATCCAAGTGGCAACAGATGAAGGTCGGATATGCCGGCCCTTGATCATCGTCGAGGATAAGAAATCCAAGGTCACCAAGCGGTACTTGAAGTCCCTCAGGCAGGGTTCAATGGACTTTGACGACTTCCTCGCCCGCGGTCTTGTTGAGTATCTGGACGTCAACGAGGAGAATGATAGCAATATCGCCATGTATGAATCTGATATCAACGCAACGACTACCCACTTGGAGATTGAACCTTTTACGATCCTCGGAGCCGTTGCGGGGCTGATTCCGTATCCTCATCACAACCAGTCGCCTCGAAATACCTATCAGTGCGCTATGGGAAAACAAGCTATCGGGTTCATTGCTAACAACCAGTTCTTGAGGATTGATACATTACTTTATCTTATGGTCTATCCTCAGAAACCCCTAGTGAAGACCAGGACTATCGAACTGGTGAAATACGACAAACTCCCAGCTGGCCAAAACGCGACGGTGGCCGTCATGTCATATAGCGGGTACGATATCGAAGATGCCCTCGTCCTCAACAAAGCATCGGTTGACCGCGGCTTTGGCCGCTGCCAGGTTCTTCGGAAGTATCCTGTCAGCATCAAGACTTATGCGAATGAGACAAGCGACATGGTCTACCCACCCACCAAGAATAGTGACGGCACCGTAGCCAAGGGTCATGCTCTGCTTGATTCAGATGGTGTCGCGTCTGTCGGTGAAAAAGTCAGTAGCGGCGAGATCTACGTCAACAAATATGTCCCCAGGAACGCCAACTCTTCAGGCTTGTCAGAGAATGGCTCCGATAGTCCTCGCACTTTTGGAATGGATCCACAACCACAGAAATATCGTCTTCCAGACCCGAGTTATATTGACAAAGTCATGGTGACCGAAGCTGAACCTGGCCATCAAATTATCAAAGTGCAAACGCGGCAGACACGGGTCCCTGAAGTCGGCGACAAATTCTCTTCCAGACACGGGCAGAAAGGTGTGGTGGGAATTATTGCCGAGCAAGTCGACATGCCCTTCTCAGATCTTGGTATCACGCCGGACATTATCATGAACCCTCACGGTTTCCCCTCTCGAATGACAGTTGGTAAAATGTTGGAGCTTGTCTCTGGAAAAGCTGGTATTCTCAAAGGAAAATTCGAGTACGGCACCGCATTTGGTGGTAGCAAGCTCGAAGATATGTCAAGAGCCCTGATTGAAGCAGGCTACAGTTACGATGGCAAGGATTACCTCACCTCTGGAATTACTGGTGAACCCCTCCCTGCTTACGTCTTTACTGGACCCATCTACTATCAGAAACTCAAGCATATGGTTCAAGACAAGATGCATAGTCGTTCTCGTGGCCCGCGAGCCATTCTGACACGCCAACCTACAGAAGGACGTTCTAGAGACGGAGGTCTGCGATTGGGAGAAATGGAACGTGACTGCCTCATCGCATATGGCGCGTCACAACTACTTCGCGAGCGCTTAATGTTATCAAGCGACCAACATCAAGTGGACGTCTGTGAGAACTGTGGCTTCATGGCCTTTGCACGATGGTGTCAGCGGTGCAGCAAAGCAGGCGAGTCGGGATCGAACGTGGTCAGAATGACTCTGCCATACGCATTCAAGCTCTTGCTGAATGAACTTGGGAGCATGAATGTCAATACGAGATTGATTGTGTCCGATGAGTTTCCTGCCGACGGCTCGAGGCGGGCATGAAAGGGAATCGAGGGTTAAAATGGGCACGAAGTGGACGGAATTCCTGGAGCAGAACCCCCCGGGGGGGGGGGAGGAGGGGGGGGGTTGGTGGCACATATGCATAGCGGTGGTGTCCTTGATCACAGACCAAGGCAGACTTGAGGATTTGTGACAGCATACTTTGCGGCATACTTTACGGAATGTCTTTCGTCCATGTTACGTGCAGGGCATCAGCGACGGCGCTTTATTGTTTGCTTCGAATTTCCATGGACTCTTCTGTCTAAACAACGCCTCGCTAGTTGGCGACCAGCCCTTGTGTTACTGGCATGTGAAATGAATGAGAGGATACCCGACCGGCACTTGTCATTGTTCTTGTAGGAAAAAAACGAAAAGCCAACGACTCAGATAGAAAAGCATTACTCAACCACACTTCTTAAGTATCCTACATGTTCTTTTTTCCGGTAATCTGGAAAAACTTAACATGACTGTTGACCGTGTATGTCTAGTCTGTCAAAATGAGATTTCCTACGGTATAAAGTTGATCGATACACACATAGCGAATGCAATCTGGCTCTTTAACTGTTGTCAACTCAACTCAACTAAGACTACCCCCATCATAACCACCGCAACCACCGAAGTTCACTCTCAGAAGCTAAGCCACGAGATGGCGGGGAAAATAAACATTACTCACCCCTTCTGTCTTCTGGAATGCACCGTTGGCCACTCGATGCTCGTCTTCGTCTTCATCTTTGTCCATTCTGTCTCTCTGCCTTGGAGTGTCGTGTCGTATTGTGTTGTTTCTCGTCGACTTGCCTGCCCCCCCGTGTGCCGTGAGTCTCAGGCCCGACTCAGCCTCAAGGTCCTTGACTTACTTGTGTCGTTGTCTCTAGCCTCACGGAGCTATGACCAGGTTTCCATTCTGTACAGCGAACTGGGGTTTTTTGGGTTTTTGCTGGGCTCTCTTCGTGCCCTGACCCTGGCCCTGGCCCTGGGGGTTCCCGCCGCCGCCGCCGCCGTTGTTGTTGTTGTTGTTGTCATTGTCATCACTGGAATCGTCGCTGTCGTGACTACTGCCGTTGCTCGATGGGGGCGGCGGCGGCTGCGGCGCCCGGGCAGCGACGGCCGCGTTGTCGAGCCCGTTGAACCAGCGGTCGTGCGGGTTGCGCTGGCTGTACAGGGTCTTCCAGTTGGCCGTGGACCACCCGGCAGGGAAGCCGCCGTACTTTGCCGCGGGCAGTTTCAGCATGGGCTCGTCCGGGTCGGTGAAGGCGTGCTCGATCAGGCCGCGGAACTCCTTGCGCGAGGGCTGAAAACCCGCGTCTCCGAGGGGCATGTCGTTGATCTCGTGGCCGCGGTAGTAGACCTTGGGCGGGTAGTTGCCGTGGCGTTTGGCGCGCTTGATGGCGAGGCGGAGACCGCGGCGCGTCTGGTCCATGAGCTCGAGCTGCGACGGGCGGTTCGCCGGGTCCGGGTCCAGGCACCTCCGGATCAGGTGTCGGAGCCGGCTGCTGTAGACGCCCGGCGTTTTGGTGTGGACGTGCGAGATCTGGTGGTTCCCGTTCCGCCGGTATCTTTCGAGTGTCTTGGCTCGGATCTGGCTGAGGTGTTTGGGGCTGCCTCGGAGTGTCACGAGATCGAATATGGTCTGTCCGGCGCCGTAGATCTAAAAGAAAAACAGGGTGGATATATCAGCAAAATGTGTCTCTCTCTTAAGATGTCTAACAACGGTTCTCGCTACCACAGACCACCCAAAGAAGGGACGGCATCTGCCAGGATCGGTTCCGCAGCTGAGATAAAAGACCAAACTTACATTCAATGCGTGATCAAAGATCACATCACCACCAGAACCAAAGTTGTCTGTCTCACGTTCCTGCGCAGCTCCGTACCAATCCTGAGGCCGACGTATGGCATCGTGAGTCCTGACCCAGCCGCCGTCTGGCGGGATCTCCCAGTTCGAACCGAAATGTGCTTGTTCCTGCATCGTGTCCTTGTCAGCGTAGCCCAGGTTTCTGGATCACGATTCATGACATATCTAGGGAAGGAGGGGCAAGCAAAAGGGACAAGGGAAGAAGATAGAAACGCTTTGCTTACCGTTGGCTTGTGGGAACGGGTGCCACGCCACCACGTTTCAGTTGGGTTCCACACTCGCAGTTCTTCCGAGTCGTGATAAGCCGAGTACAAGGATAGGCCGTAGTCATTCAACAGAACGGACGGGTACTCCTCGCCTCCGTGCGGATATCCCAGGAGCACATTGTCTGGTTTCCAATCCAGGTGAAGGCAGAACAAGTCTTCCAGGTGCACAATCTCGAGGTACTCCTCTTTGATGGCTCTGCTGTCGTACGGGGGAGCATCCCGAAGAGCCTCGCACGCCTTTGCCAGGGAATGAAAGAGGTGCCAGATGAAAACCTCGGGGAGATAGGTGTCCCAGCATCGGTAAAGGCGGGAGAGGCGATACAGACTGCCGTAGGGACAGTATTCCAGATAAAACCGGTATCGACCTGTCCGCCCGCGACGGTCGTCACAAATGAACTTGTATTCGCGCAGTTGCGGTGAGACACCAGGATATTGAGAGTTGATGTCCCTGTGGATGACGGCCTCGGTCAGCTGTCTCGGATACGCGGCAGGGTCGGCTTCAGTGGCCTCGACGTTGGTGGTAGCTTCGTTGTACTTGGATTGCTTCAGGATAAGCTCGTCAACAATCTGATTTTGGTCATTTCGTTTCTGCCACAGGCCGACTATGCCATATCCGCCTCTTCCAATCAGTCTGACGGGACCCCACTCCGCATCGTCCGCTTCGTCTTGCTCAAAGTAGAGCCATTTGCGAAGGAAGGACTCCTCTTCCGGTACCTGGCCAAAGGCGCCTCGCTGTTTTCGATCGTCGTACCATGCCTGGTCAAAGTCCTGAGGTACTTGTCGCTCTGCGTCGACTCTGGGATGGTATCTGATGATGTAGTCATCGCCGTCACCGAAGTCGAATTCCTCGAAGGGCTGACCGTCCAAGCGCTTGCCTTGTTCAGGCATGATGTGAGGACGAAATATACTCTCAATCAGAAAGGTAAGCAAGCTGAGTGGTCTTTGGGGCTTGGGGCTGAACGTGAGAGAGCGATCCCTTGACTGTCAATGATGGAGAAAGGTCGCCAGGTGCAGGTGGTATTACGATTAAAGTAGAACCTGAACGCATCCAAAACACAAATACAATGAACAAAGGAGATGTGACCATCCAGACCATGAATGAAAGATGCATTTAGCCCGTGCATCTCGATAAAGAAGTTCGTGGTGCTGCTGCTGCTGCTGCTGAACGAGGACTTTACCACGCAAAGTCTGACTGACGAAGCTGTTTTTCACCACTTGTTTGCCATTGCCATTGCCTGAGAAGCCATGGCGGACACATAGCAAAAGAATCGTGAGAGATCATCGTTCCTAGCGATGCAGTATGCAGTGTGTCCGCCCAAGGAAGAAGTCGAAGCAATGTCCACGGACACAAAGAGTTGGTTGTTTGATTCTGTCCGTCCATGTCAAAGAAACACAGTTGCTGCATTGAGCCTAGTTGATTTATTGAGCTTGGCTCTTATGTAATCCAACCTCTCGGATGCGGCGATCTGCCTCCGGACTTACCATGATGGGTAACCCGCGACGGAAGTTGATCGCCGATACCGAAGCCCCACGTCCCCTCAATGATCAAGGCTTATTCCCTTTGTTCCTGTACTACTACCGACATCAGTGCCATTGAGGGGTTGAATGCTCAAGCAGACTCGTTCGCTCTAAGATCCTTTCCTTTCTAACTAACACGACAGACCAAAGTAACTACTAACCCAAGAAAGACAGACTTCTCAACATGGCGATCGAAGGCGTCCCGAAAGAAATGCTTGCGGTGCAAATCGTAGAGGTAAGTCCAGGACGTGGCTGTAAGCAAAATCAATGAACCACTATCTACCAGAGGCAAGAAGCTGATATGAGGTGACTGTGGGTGGCATCAGTTCAACAAACCGTATACGATCCATAAAGTTCCCACCCCTTCAAGCCTCAAACCGTACGAAATCCTGCTCAAGACGGTCGTCGCATCGTTATGCCACACGGACGGTATGGTAGTTGCCGGGAAATTCCCGACGAAATTGCCCTGCACCGCATCACACGAAGGCACAGGCATCGTCGTTGCCGTCGGTGATCAAGTCACCAATTTCAAAAAGGGCGATCGTGTCATGTCTGGTCTCCCACGGGCCCCGTGTGGGAAGTGCTTCAACTGCCAGGGTCCAAATGATTGGCATCAGTACTGTGAGCACATCGAGGGCCACATTGGTGTCTTCGTGGACGGCGCTTTCAGTGAGTATCACGTCGTGGACAGCCGGACGAGTTGTCATATTCCGGACAAAGTGAGCTTTGCAAGTGCAGCACCCCTCGCTTGCGCCGGGTGTACCATATATCGTGCAATCATCGTGGCCGAGGTTCCAGAGGGGGGTTGGTTAGGCATCGTGGGTGCCGGTGGCGGGCTGGGCCACCTGGGCATTCAGTTCGCCCTGGCCAAAGGGTTCAATGTCGTTGCCGTCGATGCCAGAGACGAAGGGCTCGAGCTGTGCAAAAAAGCGGGCGCAAAGCACATTTTCGACGCGCGCGAGGGCAAGGAGAAGGTCGTGGAGCAGGTGCAGAAGCTCACAGGTGGCCCGGGCGTCCACGCTTCGATCAACGTGTCGGAACACGAAACCTCGGCCGACACGGCCTGTGCCATCACGAGGATGCATGGAACCATGGTGCAGACTGCACAGCCGGACCGGTGGGTGTACCCTCGCTACAAGTGAACACAACGGCGCTGACTTCCAGGGCAGGGTCTGCGTGGCCTTCCAGGAATTGATTTTCCGAGACATTCGCATCAAGGGGACATTGATCGCCGGACAGGAATACAGCCAGCAAATGCTGAACGACGCGGCCAAGTACGGAATCAAGGTCGAAACGAATCTCTTTTACGGGTTGGAGGAAGTCCCTAAGATGGTAGAGCTGGCTCACTCGGGAAAGATGAAGGGCAAGGCTGTTTGCGTTGTCGACAAGGCCGAGTTTGAAAAGGAGAAGCTTTAAAGCGTCCTCAAGATGTAGGAAGTATGGCGAGTGTTGGTATGGTCCACGTCGGAATGCCATAACGATTCTAGCGGAGACGAACGGTCCTGGATGGTTCGCGGTCTGATCTTCGCGAACAGCCTTGTCTACCTATCTTTCCTCCACAGACTTGTCTCCAATACACACACGCCTGCTTTTCTGCATTGACACTCTTTCTCCCTTTGATTCCGGGACAGATATTTACCCAATGAGCCTGAGATACCCATCTCAAGCCTGTTCTTCATTGTCTGGTAATTCGACAAGACACTGTGGACGGCTGTTTCTTGTAATCGAGCCCGTTGTGGCCATTTGATGCCTATCTAGGTAGCTGGTGCAAAGCGGAGGGAAGATCTATCATCACATCACTCGCCCGCTCGTCCGCCCTCGCGCCAAATATTCATGCCGTCTTCAGCCCGGGCACATATAATAACAATAATACGCACAACAATTCCGTCGCCGTTGCGCAGTGATGCCGTTCCTGCTCGAACCTGAAGCCAGAGGTTCATTCCCAACAAGCCATATCTCATACAGCCGGAACCTTACAGTTGGTATCTCTGCAATTCGGTCGAATATCACAATCGCCATTCTTTCAGGAGATTCCTCTCGATGCCATCCAAAACCTTCCTTTTGCGCCGTGCAAATGCCTCGCTCAACGCTCTTCCCTGCGACCATATATGTATGTAGGTGCCGGCACGATATTGACGACTGAAATCCGAAATTTGTGCATGCTGTACATTTATTTCCATGAACAATTCCCAAACGCCGGTGAACTCCATGCGTCGTGTGAAAAACCGAAAAATCCGTCTCCAATTAGGATCCATCGGCTTGTTGATCACACAAAACAGAATCGAAAATGTCTTTTGTCTTTTTCTTGTCTTCCTCAATCAGTCGCTCTCCGGCATGCGCATGTACGCATCAATGGCCGCACTGAATGCTGCGAAGCCAGCACACCCGAGCGCAGCAGCCTGGGGCCCTGCTTTGTGCGCCAATATCCCGCCCGTTATGCAGCCGGCAGAGACGCTGTTCGAGAGATCACTCTTGGCTCGGAAGCCTTCTATGCAGCACTCTGTGCCACTGTAAAGCGCCCCGATGAGGGCGAAGTTCTTGGCCGACGAGTATGATTTCGAACCCATGTCTTTGAGGCCTCGCCGGAGTTGTTCGCGGACCGGGAGGTTGGTTATTTGCTGGCCCTGAGGCGATAAGGGAGTGTCGTAGGCCATCTATTGCAGAGACCAGTCAGTCAAAAAGATTTGGCGACGGAAGACGTGGCATTGAGAGACGGAATCGTCCACAGGTAGACCGCAGGCGAAGGTTCGGTGCGAAGAGAGGAAAAATAGTGTAGCTTACACTCGACATGAACAGGCCAAAGGCGCCGCCGAGAACGAAACCCATTCCACCTGCCAGAGCTGATTTGGCGACGCAGGATTCCATTCCTTTTTGCATCTGTGTCCGCGCATCCCAATCAATTAGCTATCGGTTCTTCTTGCGCCATTCCACGGCCATGGTTGCCAGGACGCCAGAGTGCTATGCTCCGCATCCTGCCCCATACCATACCACACGAAAGCCCGAGGATATTTTGTGCTGGCTCACCATCTTCACCATCTGCTGCTCCTGCTCGCTCAAGCCTGCGTTTCCTCCTGCTCCGCCGCTCATCCCCGGTCCGCCGAATGCGCCTGGGAACGCCATCGTCAAGGACCTCGTTCAATTTATGGTAAGGAGTGGATGTGGTCAGGAGGAGGAGGAGGGTTCGTTTTGTCCGAGTGCGAGATCGGGCGGGATCCTGATGCAAGCACGTTTGTACTTGTTAGATGAAGAATCGCTGGGGCCCATGTGCGCAAATGCCTGCGGCAAAAGGAAATTCGCGTTTGTCGATCGGAGCGGGATTTTGCGGCGAAAATGCTCCGGGCTTCCGATTGGCGGACGTATGAACACCACCAGGTACATGGCAAGGCTGCCGCCGCACGGGGAGAAAAGGGTACTGGACTGAGTAGAATAGACCTCGATAGGACAGAAATGAGGTCTACCACAGAGGAGCGGCCCATAGTCAAACTCGTCTGGAGCTGGAAGGCAAATCACTCTCTCGAATCGACTATATTTGATAACATGATAGAACTCGCTGTACGATATACTAACTCCCCTTAGGTGCAAAATGGGATCATGAATTCGTTGCACTCCTAGTCATCATCCATTGTGTCACTCGGCGCATTGGCTCAGCCGGCTGCTGCAACATTCAGTGTCTGAATATCCTCGAGCACTATCTAATCCGGAGGGGACGAGTTGCGCTGTGTATCTTTCCCTAGTAGGAGCCCTCCAGACTTCTGCGGTTCTGAAGATAGTTCATTCGTCGCGGCCGAGAGTCCTTGCCACGCTTATTCTGGCGTACATCGGGCCAGTCAACAGTCTTCTCAACATTTGTCCCAGCTAGGGACAACCCGACCTCTGTTCAAGAGTCTTCTCACGATGAGTTGACAATAACAGGGATCGCTTTGCGGAGATCGCTTCGTCTTCAACATGTCGTATCAGAGAGCGGCAGTCTCCGGACAATGTGTCTTTGGTCGGAAGCTCTTCGATGGGAAGTTGCCTTTCTTCCTGTAGCGATACTTGGAAGGGTTTCGAATGGGTTGGACCTCATTCATCTTCCTCTGCCTCGGCCGCCGCCGCCGCCGCCGCCGCCGCCAAACATTCCTCCCATCTGCTGCATGAGAGCATCCATTCCACCGCCACCGCCTCCAGCTCCCATGCCCATGTTTTGCATCATTTGCATCATCTTGCCCAGATCACCACCAGGCATGCCGCCCCGGCCGCCACCCATACTTTGCATCCGTTTCTGCATGGCTGCGAGCTGCTGTTGCCTGTTCCCGCCTTGCAACATACTGTTGGCTTTGGCCATGTTCTTCTTCTGTTGGCCCATGTTCTTGGCCACGCTGGCCATCACTTTATGTTGTGTCAGAAGTTCTTCGACATCTCTGACACTGGTACCCGAGCCACAGGCGATTCTCACCATTCGGGACGGTTGTGATATCAGGATTTTGCCATCAGAGTCCAGCTCTTTCGTCGTCATGCTGTCAAAAATGTACACCATTCTTTTCAGCTTTTCAGTTCCGTCCTCGTCGGACATGCCTTGCATCAGGCCACTCATACCGGGTATCATACTGCCGATCTTGGAAAGAGGGCCCATCTTCATTATATTCGTGATTTGCTCTTTCATGTCGCGGATCGTGAAGATACCCTCTGCCAAATGTTTCTGGGTTTCCTTCATCCCTGCTGACTCCCTTGTGAGTGTTTGAATGTGCTCAATCAGACCGCTCATGTCTCCATATCCGAGGAGCTTGGAGATAAATGATCTTGCATCGAATCGCTCTAGATCTGCCAAATGTTCACCGGTACCAAGAAAGATGATAGGAGTATGGGTAGCAGCTGCAGCGGCGATAGCACCTCCTCCGGCTGCACCACCGTCTGTTTTGGTGATGATAAGAGCACCAAAGTCAGCTGTGGCTTTGAAAGCGGCCGACTGTGCCTCGGCCGCTTGACCAATCGTGCCATCCAAAACCATGATTGTCTGATCAGGTTTGATGGCATTTTGTACCAGAATCATTTCTTGGAACAAGTCTGCTTCCTGTTTATGTCTCCCTGAGGTATCAACGATGATAACCTCAAATTTCTCTTTCTTGAATCTCCCGACACCCTCAGCAGCTACCACTGCAGGATCTGTTTGTGTGAGTGAACCGTAGTACGGTATCTTTGCTTTTGTAGCGTTCTGTTTCAGCTGATCATAAGCGCCTGCTCTGAAGGTATCCGCGCAGACTAGACAGGCTTTGAAACCCCGGGCGGCGTAGTATCTCGCCAGCTTCGTACAGGTTGTAGTCTTTCCAGCGCCTTGAAGACCGACCATCATGATCACATTTGACCTGCCCTTCTTGGGTCTATATGGTTCCGCATGGGGATCGACGAGTTGGACCAGATGCTCAAAGACCGCTTGTTGGATCATGCGCTTCTTGCCATTCGAAGTTGTGTGAGGCGGAAGGTCTTTAAAGTTGACAGCGCTCTGTATCGACTTTCGCAGGTTCTTAACAAGTCGAACATTGACGTCGGCCGACAGGAGGGCCGAGCATATCTCCTTGATCATGGCATCGAAAGCTTTCTCGTCGAGGTTGGGTTCTCGATTTAGGTTCGACACGGCGGCATTGATGCGCCGCCCTAGGTCTGAGAGAACCATGTTGCAGGAGATCAGAGAGGTGTTGCAAGACAAATTCTGATATACGGGTAGGTTCAACCTTTGTCGCCAGCGAGATCAAAGAGAGTGAAGGCGACACGAAGTTGACGTTTCGATGCGAGTGTGGGGAAGAATGCGACATCAAAAGTGGGAGTCAAGTTGCACCGCAGTTTTGCCGGGAATTTTCAAAGAAATTCCAGAACAAAAAGTAGAACTATGTAGATACGGAAGAGCTGGCTGAATTGAAACTAGATACGGTATCCGATGAGGGCATTTTTCTGGAAATATTAAACTGAAATCTCACCTCTTATTATCAGCTACTGCGACCATGGATAAAAGGCTCCGGAGGGTAGTGCTCCTAGATAGGAGGTTGAGAAAAGAGGAAGACGAAGGCCTGGCCTTTAAAATGATCGAGATACTCTGTGAAGCATAGAGAGACTCAGGTATCATGATAAAATATGTTTCATCAAATTGAAAGCTTGAGATTGACCGGGTGCTACCGAGGACTTTCTTCTAGAGGGAGGATTGTGGCGTGTACGGTAGAGGAAGACCAGACCATGACAAATTCTCGAGGAAGACAGTTGAGATGTCCCAGAAGTGGTCATTTCTAATTACATGCAGTCCTCCCTTCGCTCACTTCCAAGAATTGAATATCGGCTCATTTCCCTCTTGCTATGTTTCAAAGTCACGCAGAAGACAAGTCGAAAATCTCTTTCTATCCAAGTCGATAGTCGATAGTGTGATTGGTTGGATGGTCCTGTCACTGACAGGATCAAATTTGTGAAAGGAGAATTAGCTGCTAGGCGGCATTCTAGTTTTAATGGAGACGGAAGGTCAGCCGAGTTAGACGACACAACCCTCCGACTCTTTTCAGAGCCGTTCACGTTGCTGCCTGTAGAGGCACACCCGGTGTTGTTCCACTGTTGTCTCTGCGTCGCCATTGGTGCCAAATACTCTTCATGTAATGACCAGCCTCCAGGGATTTTTTCATTCTTCGCTTCCATCATGATGATATTACTGTAAGGAATTGTCTAGTACCATCAATTCAAATCTACCCTTTCAAAATGGCCGAATATCATGAAAAAGATCCGTTCGAGGTAACTAGCGATGTATGTGTCCGGATCCCAAATTCTGGCACGGGAATTAACGACAAATCTAGCCCTCAGCCTCAAATCCGAACACAAATTTCCCATTAGAGGGCCGAGACATATTTACAGTGTCAGAATCAGAGCTGGCTGCTATTGCTGACACCGCTCCATCACTTCATACGCTTAGCGGTGCACGAGTAGCTCGAATCTCACGAAACCTTGTGATCAAGAAATCGATGTTGACCCTCCCTTCCGAAGCCGAAGCCATGAAATTGGTTTCTCAAAGGACATCTATCCATCTTCCTCGGGTTTACCGATCGTTTACTGTCTACGGGACTGGCGGTATCTACGACTCCACTGGATATATTGTTATGGACTATATCGACGGTATTTGTCTTTCAAAATGTTGGGAGACGCTCCTTCCCAACGAACGCGATGATGTCATTCGTCAAGTCGTGGATATGATACGAGAATTACAGTCTCTTCACCTCCCCTTCGTGGGCCCAATTGGTGGCGGACCTAGCCACGGGAAATGGTTCTCAATATACGGCTCCGGACCGTTTACTGGTGTTTCGGATTTTGAAGAGTATTGTAACGGAAGACTTGAGATGGCAAAAACGACCGGAAATACACCGACCAGTACCCCTCCTTTCAAATTCTCGAGTTTCGTCATGGTCCATCAAGATATTGCACCTCGAAATCTACTTCTACATCCTTCTGGGCGGCTATATCTTATCGACTGGGGATGTGCGGGTGCATATCCTCCAATTTTCGAAGCGGCTGCAGTCGCTCGCGAGTCAGACGATGATGGATTCAGCCATTCAGTTCTCCAGAGGCTTGAATATAACCAGCAAGCGCTTCAGCAACTTATGAGTATTCGCGCAGTCCTACATTTTTTCAATGAAACTGATGTAAGTTTCTGTAACATAATCTCATGGTTTCTATATAACTCACCAATTCATGGGATTTTAAGGTCGAGAAGCTAGAAGCATGGATGAAGAGTCGGCAGACAAAGGCTATTGATAAAGTAAGTAATCGGTTTCCCACCCCAAACAAAACAAGCGCCTGATCTCGTGCCTGATCTCGCACCTAGACCATATGAACAACGCAGTCCCAACTCCAGACCAATACATATGGCTCAGTGTCAAATTCACACACACGAACGACCTGATCCCGATTTCACACAACAAATATGATCCAGATCGATTTCGATAAGCCAACAGTCACGTCTCAACGTGCTCGACGGAAGATATACCTGTGCAGAAGGTAAAAGGTGTTCGCTCTGGCAAATCCATCTTCAGATCACCCTGGTAACCCTTTCATACTCAGGACCAGACTCTCAGTAGTATGCACCACGATCAAGCTCAAGAGAAGTCCCATCCGGCCAAACCTTGAGTATCGCGACTTGAGCTTCCTGGATCTGTCCTGAGTTCCCCTAGCCATTACTCTGAAGTAGGGATAAGGTATTGCTCGTCCACATGCGGCATCCGACGCCATCACGGTCGAACTCATATTTATCGCGACCAGCCTGTATAAGAGCATCGACAATGTGGTGTACACGAAGTCCTTGCATCGGTCGAATCTGAACGATCTTCTTGGCATGGTTGGTAACGACATAGGGCAACTCTGACACTATAAGGTTTCCTTTTGAGCCACCAGGAAGGATGGTGCTTGGATAGCTGTAACTTGGAGTCATATCGACACGGACCGAGGAGGTTTGGCTAGTCTGGAGGTATAAGCACCAGTGGTTCGTGGATTTGTTGTTGTCCCAAGGTTTGCGCTCATGGGCGACAGCACGAAGCATGGTGACTTGCTGTTGCTGAATGGCGTTTTTGCGCGAAGCAGGGATGTATTGGACGGTCTGGAGAGGCATACCTGACAGAGGGACTTGGGGAAGAGGAAACGTAAAGGAACTATTGGAGGCGGCCCAGAAGTGAAGTAGTACTTTTATGCGTATGTTCCTACGGAAATAAGAGTAAGATGGTCGTATACATCAGGATTTAAATAACCTGATGTCTCTATGCTGGTCTAGATTACGCGCTGTTCAGTATGCTCTATTCTTTGAGACAAAATCCCCTGAGGACCAGATTTGGGCCACTCAAATGGCGGGACCATTGTACATACAGGTCAATGCCGTAACAATCTCTCCAGGTTAAGTCATACTCCCTTGAAGTCGTTGGTAGCCGGCTGTCGTTGACCCTACAGGCCATGGCAGGAGCAGGCGCGCGGCAGCGCAGCACCTACGCCCACGGATCCATCGGTCGCATTTCGACCTGGAGAGGAAAATAGCAGGGAGGAAATCTGGAAACCGCACGAACTGAGGAAGTTAAACTAAAGCAGGAAAATGTACGTCTTTCTTCGAAAATCCAGCAGCTCAAAATACAACTGTGTCAATCAACCAAGCCAATAATCTTGTTGGTGGCGGTCTTCAAGACGGCCTGTTTGATGGAATATCATGTCTATGTTTCAGGCCGGCATTTTCCTTTCCTGTGTCCACCTCTTTTGTTTCAGAGTCTGCGCGAATCACTGACCTTCTAACCTGCTCGATCTGAGATGAACGAGTGCTACATTCACTGACCAGACGTGGCTAACTAGGAATTCTTGGGGCATTGAGGATTTTGAGAATTCTCGGAATGGACAGTCTCGATGATGCCGAAATCTGGATGGCGGCGAAGGGAATCGAAGCGGATTGCCGCCAGGATTAAAGAGTCACGAGGCGTGAATTCGCCCACTACCACCACCGGCCGCGAAGATCACGTTCACCGCTTACATCCCTGTCAAAGGCATGTTGAGCTGGGACAAATCGTTCTGATGTTGGCAAAGAAATTCTGGGTACCTCTTGTTGACGGACAATACAATGGCACAGAACTTACGCTCCTCCGGACAGTCATTCCGTCGCCCCACAAGGCCGCACGTATTGTTTCTCGAGGCGCTAAAATCACCGAGCAGTTTACGGAGGCTTACGTACATTTTCAAGTACTGTAATAATAGACCATGAATCCAAAGCATCAAATTGGTAGAGGTAAGAATGCCTGCCCTTTCTCGACGTCAAATCGGAATCTGAGCTACCACCTTCCATTCCAGCTCGTTGCGATACTCTGTGACCAGTCCCTTACAATATGTCAGCATTAAATGGTGCAAAGAAGAAGATCTTACCAAATGCCATGATCGTTTGAAGTTATGATATGTTTTTTGCGCCATTTAACGGAACCCGTATCAATACAATGTCCCCTTCTGCAGCTGCCTGCCGAATCACGTGAAGACAGTCCTCGAGATCCCGCACCTTGGTACGATTGACTTTTGTGATGAAGGAAGTAGCTCCAAGTTCAACGTACTCTGACGAGTCCATGTCATTACAGAAGGCACATAGATATTCGATGCTGCTTACACTGACAGGTTCCGACCATCAACAAAACTGGTCTTGTGGGGGGCAATAAATCCCTAGGGTACACATCACTGGCCTCATGTACACGGCGCGCAGGTGCTATGCGAGGGACTACGTCGAGATTCGACATTTTACAGGACACGGACTCTGTCCAAAAGCCGTCTTTGTTCAAGCTCGCAACCTACATGCCTTCTCATGATACCTCGTCAACGAGTATGTTGCTTCCAACGGTTTACATGGTTGACGTTGGGAACACTGAAGAACATGGGAATAGACGATGACGACGGTCGTCCATGAACTCATTTGCCTGGGCCGCCCTACATATGCTTTGCAGCGTATATAAATCGCTCTGGCACTGTAATGGTGAAGTCTCTCCATATTGGAAACTTTTCTCCACGTCGCACCGACGGTGGTCACCGTTCTAGTGTTCCAACGGCAGAATGCGGACCTCGGGATTGTGGTGCCACGCTTAGGCCTCATGGTTGAAGGGGGGGGGGGGGGGGAAGGGTTCGAAGTGCGTTCATTGTGCGACATGGCGTTCACATGCTATAGCTTGAGCAGCTCATCTATCTCTACCACTCATTTCGAAGTGCCTTCCGAAGTGGTCTTCACGGGTCCCACCGCCTCTTGCGTTACGGACCGATCATCGTCGGCGGCTGGATTGGGCTCAAGATATTTCTGTTCATTCCGGTGATTCTGTCCGTGTTCTGGTGAGTCGGCCACCCTTGTATTCGTCCTGTCCATCGCTGATCGATTATCCGAGGCCACGGGAGTGGCAGTCGGTCCCATCTGCCGTCACGTCCCTCTTCGATCAGGCACTCCAGATGGCTATGTGTGGAATCTTCTGCCAACGGATCGTGACGAAGGCAGGTCACCTCCTCCAAAGCACTGAAATGTGCGGATCGCACTATGCTTGGAGCTTATTGAGATTCGCCCTCCAGATCATGATGTCGATCGCCATCGTGGCCTTCTCCGTGAGATGGCCACATCAACAACTCCTATGCTCCCTCGTACGTCCTCGCTCAGCCTGGCGTCCGGTGGTCTAACCGAATTCAGATTCAGATCAACTGTATCCTCTTCCGTCCTACTCCACGAGCGTGGCTGAGATACGCTCGCTGTCGGAGAGGTCGATCCCTCGAAGACCGTGTGGAGCATTAGTATAGAGGGAGTCGTTGCGACTCGAACGGATAGCGGTCCTACCAGCACCAGCCTTAAAGCGTCGAACCTACGACGCTGCTTTTACGAGAATTTCTCCCGTTTGATTGGACTAGCGCGGGGGTCGCGGTGACCCTCGTGCGCGTTGATTGCAGGGTAGATCTACGAGGTACATAGGACCGACGTCGCCCCCTACCGCGCTAAGGCGCGAGGCGTCATGGCCAGTGAGACATGGTTGATCGCTCACCCGACTCACCCTAACTCGTGCGCGCCTGGGGTGAGCATAGGGCGGCATCACCCTCGGCCCGATCGGGTGTGCGCTCGATGTAAATTTACTACCTCTTGGCGGGCCTCGAGTGATACCCATCACAACCTCTTTCTCATTACCCATAGCGACCCGCTCATTATACCACGCCCAAGATGGCTCCTCTATCACAAAAGAAGCGTAAAGTTGAAGATGGGATGCGTGGGAAGACCGAGCGACCGAAGAAGCGTTTTCGCAAACAAGTCGAGTACCACAGCTCAAGTGACGACGAGGAGGAACAAGAAGAACAAGGATTCACTCCCGTGAATTTGGACGATAGCGACGATGAGCAACCCGCAGTGAAGAGGGCCAAGTCAAAACCGAAGACGCCACCCCCTGCTGAAGGGGATGATGCATCTGATGCACACACAGAAGACGAAGACCAAGAGGCGCAGCCTGACGAAGCTGGGACTTTGGACGAGGACAGCACGGAAGAAGGCCCTCATGAGACAGACAGACGGAGAAAAACAAGCAAGAGGAACGACCCGGAAGCGTTTTCTACCTCGATATCAAAAATCCTGTCGACCAAGCTGTCACAATCAGCTCGCAAAGACCCCGTCCTATCGAGAAGTAAGGAGGCGGCGGAAACGAGCGCCTCCCTCGCCAACGACCGCTTGGAGAAAAAGGCAAAGGCCAAATTGAGGTCAGATCGCAAGGAAGAGCTGGAACGAGGAAGAGTCAAGGACGTTTTGGGCCTCAGTTCGGGACAAGCGGGCGAGGTGGCCGAGGAAGAAAAGAGGTTGCGGAAAATCGCCCAGCGTGGTGTGGTCAAGCTCTTCAACGCCGTCCGCGCCGCTCAAGTCAAAGCTGAACAGGTGGCCAAGGAGGAGCGGAAGAAGGGGACTATAGGAATGGCAAACCGCGAGGAGAAGGTCAACGAGATGAGCAAGCAGGGATTCTTGAATCTACTCGCAGGAAAAAAGGACGCTCAGAGCACATCGGTGCAATAGTCGGAGAACAGCCTGGGTGTTAAACAGTTTTCTGGGTATGACGCCCAGCCAAGCGAAGAGCAAAGGAGAGCGGTTTGTGATAGTACATGTCTAATGTCCGACCCTCAATCTATCATCATCAACTGCGCTTCTCGAAATCCGAAGCCTGCATGTTCCGTGTCATCTGCGGTAGTTTCACCACCAACCCGTCCAGTTCCTTGGTCATCTTGACCTGGCAGCCTAATCTCGATGTTTCCGTCAGGCCGAATGCCAGGTCTAACATGTCGTTTTCATCGTCGGTGGCCTCTGGGATCTTATCGTACATTTCGTCCGAATCGACTATAACGTGACACGTAGAACAGGCGCATGAACCGCCACAGGCGCCTGGGTAGAAGTTGTCAGAATAAAGCAACGGAGACGGTTTGCGCAAGTGGATTCAGAACACACCTTCCATCTCCAGGTCATTGGCCTGCGCAATATCGAGCAGGTTGTCGCCCTCTGCAACCTCGAACGTATGTTCGTCCCCTTCCTTGTCAATAAATGTCACTTTGAGCCTGTCATCACCCATCAGCGTGTTTCAGAAATTCCGGGGTATAAGTTGAGTCTTACTCTTCACCTGGCTTTGGCGGATCGATATGTCCATGTCTCGACACGTGGGACGTGGAGAACCTCCTCCTGCGCAGCTCTAGAGAGCGTATGTGATCCCTGATCAGGTCCCTCTTTATACCAAGCTCGTGTTGATGCCGCTGGCACAGCGTTATCGTTGTGGGATGGAGGCTGAGGTTCCGATTGAGAATTCGAGTTGCGCCGGTTTGCAAGGGTCGCACCTGGTCAGATCGAACACATCGTAGGGGATTTGCTCCGATGAGACTCCGCACACCGTTCCATCCACACATTCTTCTCCCCGGGATCTTGCGACAGATGGCTCAAAGGGTTCGCCGCTGCTCAACAAGAGAGCAGTGAGTGTAGAGGGTTCAAAGGGCAACGGAAACTTTTTAGTCAAGAGTTGATTGGGCGTGACGCAAACCATCCAAAGCTTTCGGCCGAAGTAGACCCGCACCGAGCCTCTTCGCTCAATACTACGATACATCAAGAACGGTCTCAAAGGAGTGCTCGGAAAATGGGATTCGCTCCACTCTGAGAATCAAGTATAAAGTAATGGCACGTCGTCCTGCGCACCGACATGGAGAACTATGGGCTTGCCCACAAAAGCATATACAAGAGGTCAATAAAAGTGCCTGCACACATTCCACCAATCCACCTAAGATCCCCCAACCCATGCATTCCAATTGACATCTGCGCCAGCACACGCTGCGCTGATGGGTGCCCCATTGACAGGACCAATCTCGGTGCCATCACTTGCGGTCACAGCAACTGTGACATCGCCAGTCATATCGTTGAACGGCACACTGGAGTGAAAGATGCCAGGTGTGGTGGCAGAGACTGTCTGGGTCGACCCGCCAATTGTCACATTGACTGTGGCCAGAGCAGTGTCTGGCACAAAGGCAGTGAAGAAGACAGCGTCAATATCACATTCCTGCGGTTTGAGAGCCACCTGGCCTTGTGTTGGAGTGTTGCATGTGGTTCCAGCGCCGCATGCTGACCCCGATCCAGGATTGAGACGGTACCAGAAGGTAACATGGCTAGCGTCCGGCCGACTCTTGTTCTTGTACGCTGCAATATAGTGAGGCAAATCTTTCAGCCAGGCGTCATGCGGGTTGTTCTGGACATACGGGCCCGCCCCGGTCGGAATGGCGGAATCACTGGGTGGCATTGGGCCGATATAGTGGGATTCTCCCCAATCGTTCCCTCAATAAACATTTAGGATTGTTTGTCTCAAAACTTGAAATGGATCGCTTCACTCACATGTAAGGATCTCGACCAAAGCTGGCTGAATATTGAGAACTTGACTCCAGCGATGGTGCCATAGGTCATCGCCGCGCCAAAGCCAATTCTTTGACCACAATGGAAGGTTTGTATAGAACCAAGGAGAGACAGGCATCATGTAGGGTCGACCGTTAAGTGCTGTAACGTACGCCTTATCGTCATCGTCTGTCATGTCGTTTGCACCGTTTGGCCACGCATTCCATCTGCATGGGTGTCAGCAGGCACTTGTTGAGAGGAGATGCCGGGTTGCCGCTCAAGGAATTAGTACACTTACGAAAGAAGACCATCGACATTAGGCTTGCCAGCAGCACCTTCGGCACCTTGACTTGAGAAGTCAGGGACGAAGAAACAGTTGGTCTGGGCTTTGATATACGCCCAGTCTCCTGCATGATCGGCACCCTCAAAAGTTGAGACCAGAGGCTTCCCCTGCCATTTGAACTGACTTGCGTGCGAGCTGTAACCGTTCACCGTCCTGATTACCGCATTCTGATCCCAAGCTCCCTGGGCTAGGTAATCAAACGACAAGAACATTTGAAAGCCAGCCGCATCGGCGGCTTGATATGCATTGTCGAGTTGAGCCTGGACAAATCCAAGTGGATTAATCGTGTCGAGATAACCAACATTGAGCGCGAATCCGTCGATACCTGCGGCGGCTGCAGTGGCAATGTCGCTTGCCCAGTTGGCTTGGGTATAGCTATAAGTGTTCCCCACCTATGTGAATACTGTTAGGAATTGTACAACCAGCGTTTGAAGACGGTCAACTTACTATCACATGAGCAAAGACTGATTGAGCCAGAATGGGCGAGGCGAACCCAATGAAAGTCAAACAAATCAAGGCTAGGGACAACATCGGAAACACGAGTCCAGAAAAAGAGCGACTAGGTTAGGAAATTTTGACTCGAGTCCGGCTCTGGTTAAATCGAAATGAAACAAGGAAGAGAATTGTCATATCTCGATGCGAGGTTGGCATTTTGATTTCCATATAAGTTTGTCCTTGGGTATGGCGCTCCCCCCCGAAAGCTGTCTGGATCATCAAAGAGGATCCAACATGAACCCCATATCGAACTCCTACCTTTGAAATTGAACATCGTTCTGTCAAAAAGCCATGGTGGAGCACAGTCGTGCCATGTTTGTCTAAGGTGCAGATTAAGCAGTGGTCGAAGGATCGGGTCACCGAAGCATTGGGCTACAGTGTTCAGCAGCCGGTCTTTTCCCATATAGCACGAGTATAATCAATTCCCCTTTCAGGCCTAGCGATGGAACCTTGTGGCGGCGGCAGGAAGATGAAGATTGTGCAACCTCGGATCTCGTTATACAAGGGAGCCATGTGGTGGCCCGAATTGGGCGTCTTTGATGAAACACCGGATCCAAGTGTTGCATAAATACATTGAAGGAGTTTTTCTTCTGGAATTGTCATCGAATTGAAAACCAACACAAGACAAACCAAAATGTTGGTTTCATGTAGATACCAAAGTCAGTGGCTAAATAAATCAGACCGATATGTAGAGACACAACATGATATGAGCACAGAAATATATGCTTGACAGGTTCGAGTGTGGAAGTGAAGTTGTACAAGACTGTGTTTCGAAATTGACGCCGTTGTTTCAGGAAAATGGGGAAAGGGCCAGCTCCTTCTCCTATAAGTGTGCCTTTGGTAAGGCTGAGCCTGAATCCGTCTGAGGATTGTGCAAAGCTCCTCAAGACTTGATGGTTGATATATCTTGTTCGAACGACGAGATATATACATCGATTTCTTAGTATTTGATGCTCATCAAACACACATAACTAGCTACGTGTTTGCTGTCATTCGCCTGACTTGTCAAGCAGCTATACACCTATATTGCTAGAACAACGGTGTATTCGTCGTCGTACCATATCCTGTGTACCAAAGTACCCAAAAGTGAGGATCTCACAACACAATTCTCCGATTCTTGATAACGACAACGACAATGTAGACACTATGGGATATTGTAGTCTGGAGACTGCCTATTGTAGGAACCACCATGTGACCTTTGTCTCTCACTGCGTCCTATTATATTCGCAATAGAGCATGTCACACAAAGTCGCTGTGCAGTGGCAAACACATTATTGGTCACTGCATTTGGCCATTTGCCATGCTCGCCCCTATGTCAATGTACCGAGCGAGTACTCGAGGAGCACAAGTGACTTCAGCCTTGCAAAGCAAAAACGGCCATTTCAAATGACGGTCAAATGCGCTTTACCAGAGTCTTTGCTGCACCGTACAATTTTCGGGGCAAATTACGTCGTGATATTTCGCTTGTATTGAACTTGCAATTCGATCACCTTATGTACTCTGTCACTGCTTCAAAACAGCTGCAGGCCAGAATCCTGCGTTGATCTCAGGATATCTCGTCATGCAGGACTCGAGATACGTTCCGAATCCTCTCAGGCCATACTACGTCCCTCCTTCCATTGGGACCGATCCGCTACCTAATTCTACCTTGGGTACCTCGAAACCCGTCCCTCAGGGCACTAGTTTCGCATTTCCCGACATCGATTATTCCGACTATATTTCTGATACCTCGCCATCTCTACCGGGATCGGTCAAATCAATCGTTGATAACGCGTTATGGAAATATGCAAATGTCGTGCTTGCGCAGCCATTTGAGGTGGCAAAGCTGATCCTGCAGGCACGCGTTGCACAAGACGATGAGCTAGAAGACAAACGGCCGCGAAGGAGGCATACATATGGCGAGCTAGAAGAGGAAGACGCCCATGAGCATGACGAATATGACTACGAACACTCATCAGATGACGAGCCCAACTACTTCACATCTTCTGCGCCCTTTGAGCAATCGATATCGAGTCGCTCGCCAACTCGTGGTCGGCGCGGGAGACCACCTCGAGGAACGGCGTCGTCACGAGTACCTGATCACCCTCAACATGCCGATGTTCAATTACAGCTCAAGAACCCTCATTCCCTGATTGATGCTCTATCGTCTCTATCATCGAGCGGGGGAGCGTTGGCTATGTGGCGGGCAACGAATTCTACATTTGTGTACAACATACTGACGAGGACTTTGGAGACCTTCTTCAGAAGTTTCTTAGCGGCTATTCTAGGAGTAGCAGAGAATGACATACTCAATACGCCGTCACCGGGAGCAATTCCCGACATCTCTATCCTCACCTCTACGGCTCCAGTGGCAACCATCATGATCAGCACTGTGGCAGCCGCAATGTCCGCCCTTGTCCTTGCACCGATCGACGCTGCCCGTACCAGACTCATTCTGACACCTGCCAGCCAAGAGCCGCGAACACTCCTTGGGACACTGCGGACACTACCAACTCCATACCTCATACCCAGCCATCTCATCCCTATCACTTTCTTCAGCTCAACTCTACCAACGCTGATCTCTGTAAGCACCCCAGTGTTTCTCAAAACCTATCTCGGGCTGGATCCTATCATAAATCCAGCTACTTGGAGTGTCGCGACATTTGTGGGATCGGCATTGGATCTATCTGTCAAGTTCCCTCTGGAAACTGTTCTCCGTCGAGCACAGATTGCGACCTGGACATCTCCAGCGTATGCACCCCCTTCCTCATCTTCCAAACGCAAGGCGATTACGACCATTGTTCCTGTCCCGCAATCCTACCGAGGGATTCTGCCTACCTTCTGGAGTATCGCACGCGAGGAAGGTTATTCTGAGACTCAAAAAGATAAAACTGCTGCGTTGATGGGCAAGGCACCCAGGCGTAAGAGAAAGGGACAGGGGATTGAAGGGCTGTATCGCGGCTGGCGGGTTGGCTTGTGGGGGTTGGTGGGTGTCTGGGGCACAGCATTTGTGGGAGGTCTACAGGGCGGCAGCGAGTCTGCAGCCGCTGAAGCTGGTCTTCACGGTGGTAAGTTCTGACGAGGGCTTGAAAAGATGCTCATACAAAATTACGAGGAGGGGAGTGATTGTAAATCTAATGGTGGATGACAGCCCATTGACATTGGGGGCTGAGGTACTTGGTACGTAGCACGGCGTTGCAGGCGTCATATGTGATACCCATACTCTTCTCCGTCACGATATCTGAGGGGTACTTGATGAATACCTATCCAACCTGAATGTACAAAGACTGCGAGATACATTTTCTCCCAGGTAACTTGGCCCTACCCACCGGCCCTGCCCAATCCTAGTGGCCTGATACCGCCCAGCCCGAACAACTTGTGCCCCGCACAGCCAAGGCCGATTATCGGTGACATCTAATCTGATAAAATTTGATCCCAATCTCGACCTTCGACCTCTTCCCGACTTGTTTTCTTGTATGCGCCCCGTCGATTCCTTCTGTCCGCCTTGCTGTGGTCTCAAGAAGAGATCTTTTCTAGAGTTTCCTCTGCAAACAAATGCGACAATCGTACAAGGGCCATAGCGTCCTCCACGCCGTCAGCGACTAATTGCAGACGACGTCCCACAAAATCAGCTCCAAACAAATACCCTCGGTAGAGGGCGGGTTGTCCTAAATTTGTGTAACATGGTCACCAGCGCCGCGTCTCCGCCGGCCGCAGCAACAGCGGCGGCAAACAGCGCTCACGTCGACGTCAAAGTTGCCATAGCACGACCACCATCTCTATGTATGAAACCAGCTCAGACCCCGCCAGCCGCTTCCCCACCATCGTCGTCTAGCTCAGCGCCGATGTCTCTCACCAGCAGAGAATGGATCGTCCCTCCACGGCCCAAGCCAGGTCGGAAGCCGGCGACAGATACACCGCCTACTAAACGCAAGGCGCAGAATCGAGCAGCCCAGCGAGCGTTCCGGGAGAGGCGCGCCGCCCGGGTCGGCGAGCTCGAAGAACAACTGAAACAAATCGAGGAAGAGCATGAACACGAACAAGACGTCCTGCGAACGACGGTCGACAAACTTGAGAAGGAAATTGAGCACTATCGAACTGACCTGGCACACTGGGTCGATCGATGTAGGCGACTAGAAAATGAGCTTGCTGCCGCGAGATCAACGACTTCCGGATCATCTGCGCAGGATAAGAACCCAGATTCTACCGACAATGCAGCAGATGATACGTCGATCGGATGCGGAAACTGTACACTAGAGACTCGCTGCCAATGCATAGACGATGCTTTTACAGCAATGGGGGGAGAATCAGCCGATCTCCGCGACGCCCATCATCACGAGAAACGCCCGCTCTCCCCGTCGCAGCGAGACGGCGGGGAGAAAAGGATCAAAATTGAGAGTAAGGAAAGTCTAGAAATCGACTTTACGACAATGTACACCTCAAACGCTCTTCCAGAACGGCTTCGGCTAGACCATCACTCTCCTACTTCGGTGGTGGCGGATCCGTGCGGCTTCTGCTCAGATGGAACACCTTGTATCTGCGCCGAGGTTGCAGCCGAACAGGAACAAGCGCAGACTGTGGCCAACAGCAGATCTGCCGCCGCAACCATCTCGACGCACCTGCCACCAAGACAACTCGACCAATTTACACCACCTCCATCTGAAGGCGATGTGTCCATGTCTGTCCCACCAGTAGCTGCTGCACCTTTAGGGTGTGGAAGTTCGGGACCAGGGACGTGTGCTCAATGCCGCGCCGACCCGAACAGCACTCTTTTCTGCAAATCCCTCGCAGCGTCTCGTGCTCAGTCGCAGGCTGCGAACTCACCAGCCTCGGGGTGCTGCGGCGGCCAAACTGCCGGGGGGTCCTGCTGTCGGTCGAACACCGAAAGCAACGTAGTGCCTCTTCCCAGGAGGAACCGCACCACCCGGTCCCAGGCCGCAGCCATCCTGTCGTATCAAGGCTTGGCCAAGCAAGCCTCTGCAGATGTGCCAAAGGCAGGAGTGACACTGACCTGTGCAGACGCCTACACCACCCTGTCAAGACATCCTGCGTACGAACGTGCTGCCGGCGACATTGGCGAGTGGATGCCCAAGCTACATGCCACTGAACCAGCCAACCAAGCCATGGCTGGCAGACCGGCGTTGGAGATTGACGCCGCGAACGTCATGGCCGTCCTGAGAGATTTCGATCGGAGATTCGGCAAGAGCCCATGAGACAAATCGAGAAGATTGTCGCTGTGGATAGGCAAACCCAAGTCCAACTTTCGGCGTCGCGTGGTGGGGTTAGTCAATTGTGGGCCGGCTCAATCTCTTTTATATATCCTAGACGAAGTCACGGTTTGATATGGAAAACGGGGGATTATGTTGATGACGGCGTTTCTTGTGGCTGGAAGGGTGAATAGTAGGAAACGATCAAGGAAACTCCCCCCCTTTTGCGCGTCCAAAGGTCTCTCTCTCTCTCTTTTTTTTTTAATTAGAAAAAGTTGAATGTATATATTCTCGTCGATGTCGGTGTCGGTGTCGGTGTCGATTTTCCGGCGTCTGTGGAGGCCACTCCTCCCTCCCTCCTTGGTGCGTATGTCAGTGGCCGCGGAGGAGGAGGAGGATGGGAGGAAAGGAGAAGGGAAAAGAATGAGATGAGACTACGAGGACCGGCGGACAGCTTGAAAACCCTGTTTGTTACTGTCTCTATGCACATAAACTCATATTCGTGGGTCAGGTTATTTTCATATATATATATATTATCACATATATCCACCGAATATCTTTTTTTTTTCTCTTCTTTCTGATCTTCTGTTATTGGCTTGACTTTACCTTTTTCTCGTTGCTAATTCAATGCGCGCTCCTGGGGCTCACACTTCCTCCTTGCGTGCGAGGACAGGGATGCGTGTACCTGAAGTATATTATATCATATACCTACAGTATCTAGGTACGCAGGTACGTACGTACAAAGTAGGTACTTGACTATACGAGCATATCGAGCATGAAAGCCTCGATACATACATAAAATTTCAATTCATTTTTCGGGGTGGCCAGACGCCCTGACTCCCTCCCTCCCTCCATCCCTCCCTGCCCGGGCTATATTATATATGTGCGCGCTATAAATCACCGTGGGGTCAAATTTCGTAGGACGCTGTCGTAAATAGTAAATTAACCCAGTCGTAGACAATGAAATAGGAGGATTCTGTCACAAAAAAAGCAAAGGGGGAAGTTGTCGCCGAAGGACTTGTTTGTTCAAGTCAATTCGTATCCCGAAGGTCTCTCTCCCTCTTGTTTCTTCCTGCTGGTGGCGATGGCAATGCCGCACAGTTTATTGTATTGCTGCCAGCTGTCAATGCCACAATGACTGCCCTCGCCCCGCTCCACCGCGCAGGCCCAATCTCTCGGCCCAGCCTGCCACACCATTTCGAGCCTTCCTCCTTTCCCGCCCACGCCCTCCATTAACCAGTGCTGAGCTCGTACTCGGACTTGTAAGTGTGTACTCCCACTTCACCTCTCCGTCCACGTACAAGGTATACTTAAACATGCTCCTTTGCCATCCGCTCCCTGCATCACCCGCCACGCTACGAATTTCAATGACGCCAATCTTGCTGTTTCCGTCTGGAATGTACTTGATGGCCACGTCTTGGTTGTCAATCTGGCGGAACGTCCGGAATGGAAGATAGAACATTGACAACGGCCCTACTGAGAATTCGTGGGGGCCAGAGGCCGGGGTCGTGTCGTAGACGACAGGCTTGGAGACCGGTTCAGCTGCATCCAAGTCGGATGTGTCGACAGTATCTCCCACCTGGCCTTGGCCTTGGTCCTGGGAGAGGACCGGCGGCGGGTATCGTATGGCAGCGAATTCGTGGCGATCCCCAGAAAGAATAACCACTCTAATACCAAGTTCGCGTTCTGCATCATGCATGGCCTGCAAAATCAACGCTCGTTCCCTGAGAAATCCACCCCAAGTGTCAGACGTGCCAAATCGCCAGTTCTTCGTGAACGGGACGCTGGTGGCGATGATTTTCCAATGCACATGCGGGGGTTCAGGCGCGGAGAGGTATGCAAGGAGGGAGTCAAGTTGTTGAGTACCTAGCATTGAGTGTGTTTCGCGGGTGGAGGGTGGATTCGACGATTCCGAAGACGAGCCGTACATGGGTTTTTCTGAGCTCCGGGACGAAGAGCTAGTTGATTGCGATTCAGGGTCAGTCCGATATCGCCGTGTATCGAGCATGAAGAATGACGCAGGACCATTGGTAAATTCAAAGTAAGTGATATTTGCTTCCGGTCCACTCAGAGAGCCTGGTGGAACTGGTGGATTCACCGAGACGTGATAATGGATGAAGGGATCTGAAGCGGCCGGAAAAGGATCCGTATCATTTCCACCGGACCAGTCATTGGCGATTTCGTGGTCGTCGAGGGTGTGGATCCAAGGTAGGGTATCAAGTCCCGGTAGTGACCACGACGGCGAAGCGTAGACGCGTCGATATTCCGAACGATAATGTGCAAGGGAGGATGATAGACGAAGGGGCACGTCGACATAGATAAAGTCTCCGAGGAATAGCATGAATGAGGCTGGCGATGGAAGTGAACGGACGAGTTTGGACAAGTATTCCAAGCCATGGATTGCCAGAGAATGAGCCGTTGGTCTGTACGGAAAATTGGCCTTTATACAAGAGGAAGTGAGAAACGTCAAGCTGTTGGCGGCTTCCGAGTATGGCGATGCTGCTGTAACAAAGGTCCCGGATTTGTCATTGGAAAGGGAGTAGATATATTTCTTCGATGGCTGAAGACCATCAAAACTGAGTGCCTGGGTATAATCGGTATCGGGTCCCAGGTAGTAGATCGTGTCCGTCGTAGTCCACCTGGTCTTATCCGCCGGAGACAGGTAGACGTAGATTGGAAGTTGGGCCGGATCAGGCTCTCGAATCAAGATTTTCGCAGAGGTCGAGTCGACATAGCCAACACGAGTGAAGCTCAAATCCTTTGCCGGATGGAGAAGAGGCCCTCGAAAGACCAAATCAACCGTAAACAATGCCAACAGGACGTTCAATCCAATAGTGGCGTAACTCTGTCGCTTCTCTCGCCAATTGGGTATTCCAAAGACCAAGGTCTTGAACAGTGACTTCTCCTCCTCGTACAGGACGGGTTCTTCGTGTGCTTCACTGATTTGGTCCTGGGCTTTTGTTTGATCATTGCCGTTGACATGTGGAGGGGCATCGGAGGGCGCTTCAGACACGACAGCTCTACTCGAACCGAAAGCTTCGGGATGGCTGAAGACGAAGGCCAGATATATTGCCACTGAAGAAAGGATGATAGGAGGGAAATGATGACCGGGGATCTAAGGACAAGGTCAGTTGAGGTCTCTGTGTTGCGTAGCTGATGCTCTAGGCATACATACCCATCTCAAGAAGGCGTAGGCGGCGAGCCTTGCTACGGACGAGCTTGTGCCGGCTATGATCTCTGCAGGCGAAGGCATGTTTGATTCTCTCTGAAGCTATCACTCACTGCCTAAGCAGCGAGTAGTTGGACATGAATCACATCGTTGTCGAAAAAGTTGGCTGTTGGCACACAGGCAAAGCGCAGACACACCACCAATTCCGTTTCCCCAATGACGCAAGCAAAGAAGCCGACCAAGTTGAAATGGAGGGCAGTCAGACGGTGACCACCGTGACTAGCCGCTTCGCCATTCCGTAGAAGCCATCTGTCTGACAAAAACGTACCTTGGCCATTAGGAGCAGGGGTTTGGTCAGCCTTATTGTCTCTATTCTCTCCTGGAACAGCTTTGGGCTCCAGATGCTTTGGCAGACCCATTGCCCCTCGAGCTCGTGTTGTATAGACACATATCCATGTCGTTCTCCTGGTTGAGCCTCATGGTCAACGATTCACTGAAATGCCCGCTAGTCCTCTCCCCAGCTGTACCACCAGCGCCGCATCTCGCACCTTCTTCATTCCCATACACAAGGCCATGCAGTAAGCCCACATCCAACAATTCTCGCCTTCTTGAGGCAGCGCATCCCAGTATTCCCATCCCATGACCCCTCCGAACCCGGGATACCTCTCCACCAGCAAACTCAACACCGCCGCCGACAATTCCAGCGGCACATAACCGCTCCCACCGTGCTTGGGGTTCGTCAACATGCCCGCCACCACCTTCTCCGCCGGCCAGCCATTGCGAATAATCTCATCGTAGGCCGCCGTGTTGTGCAGCCCTCCCCACCCGTTGTAAAATTGCGCGTTGTACCATGCGATGCTCGGACCGCGCATGGCCTCGAGCATCCGGTAATCAAACCCAGATAAATGCGGCCGGCCAGCCATGAGAGCTGTAGCCACAGGGGCGAGTGTGATGATGAACGCGGGCCCAAAGTCCGCTTTGAGACGATCGATCAGGTGCACGATGCCTGGCAGAGACATTTCCTCCTCGACGTCCAGATCTATTCCGTCGAGGTTATAACGTCTTATCATGTCACGCAGCGGAAGATAGTAGCTTTCAAACCGTGCTAGGGGCACGTCGGTCCTCGACTCGGAGTAATCCAGTCTTGCGAAGGATCCCCGCGCGGCACCGCCCAACATGCCCAAGACCTTGATGCCCGAGTCCTGAAGAACAAGAACTTCGTCCCATAGTTGGGTGTATTTTTCGTGATCCGGTGGGTCGTCATTGAGTGTCAGATTGTGCGGGTCCCAATTGACGTGGATAGCGGCGAGAATCACATGCGTAACGCCCGAGGGGTTGGTGAGAAGTGGTAAAAGTGAGATGTATTGGTCGCTGTGGTGGTATGTTTGAAAGTAGCATACTATTCGAGGGTTCCATGCAGTGACAGGTGCTACCGGGAGAGGAGGCATGACTCCATCCGGAGACCTTGTTCGCTGCTCACTTAGAGGATAAGGACAGTCCTTTCGTTCGCCAGGAGTGGAGTGGAAACCGGCGAGGCTACGTTCGCACTCCGAAACAAATGCCAAGACTCTTGGTTGATTGACGAGGCACGCAAGGCTGAGAAAACTGCAAGGCTGAAGGAAACGCCATACAGCCCTCACCAGACTGACATTGACAGAGGTCGGTAGATTCTGATTTCAAGATTCATCTATTGCGGACCCTTTCATATCCATGGCCAGTGCGCCTTTATCCTAGACATATAAATAGTCAAATAAACTCCGTTTTCCTTTTACCCAGACTTTTCATACCCCAGTACACTTTTACTATCGATCTTCTATCGTACATTGAGCGGCGGGAGTGGTGCTCGAAGGTTGCCCATCGCATTTCCTGGAGAAAGATCAGGAGTTCCAGATAGGTCACTCCGCGCTTGCCTGGTCCTCATTGCTGGTGCTGTTGCCAGTTTCAGAGCCCGCAGTCCATTTGATGTCGGATCCATGTTGCCGGAAGTGGGCGTGCCGTAAGCTTGAGCTTTCATTATGATCTCGTTCTGTTGTTGCATCTGCTTCAGGAGTGTCTCGTTAGTGACATGCGGAGCACCTTGGGAGATGGCTGGCAAGGCAAGTGTTTCCGAGCTTTGCCACAACGGATGTTGAGCCGGGAAACTGCTAGATGTGGACTCTTGCCCCGTCAAACTCCTGGTTTGATCTGAAGTGTTAGACATCTGGCGTCGCATGAGCTGTGAGTGTAGGATTGCAACAGGTGTTTCCATGGTCTTGTCAGAGGGATTCATGGCCCGAACAGGGCTCGCGCTATTCTCAGAACCGCTTCTGCTTCGAGATTGAGATCGACTTCGACTTTTCAAATTCGGCAGCAACGGTCCGTACCTTGCGGAATTTTGCGCAGCGTCAGGCGCGCGGGGGACTAGCCTGCCAATAAACGATGCATGGCTTTGGACACTGGGTGCCGGATTGTGCGGAAGTCCACTGGCACTGGAGATGGACGCGTTTGTTGGCCTCCTGGCTAGTCGTGGTTTATCGTCTGCTCCGGAATTGTTCAGACGCCTTGATCCAGACCTCGCAGCTAGTGTGAGCGGAAGGGGCCAGCTGCCGACGTAGTTCGACTGAGAGTCTCCTCGTTGGTGTTCTGTTGGGCCTGGAGACCCTTCACGCTCGTCCTTTAGTGACGGCACAGGTGGTAACCTTTTCCCATTATCACCATATGCAGCCACAATGTTTGCAAAACTTAGGTCGGAAGGCAACTGGCTTAGTCGCTTGATTGATTGCATGTTCGAGTCCATAAAGGTCGAGATCGATTGAAGTGCATTGCGCGACTCATGCACCTCGTAGGACGATGGGGTATCGACACCATGCGCGGCTCTGGCAGTATGCGAGTCGGCTAGGCGAGCTGGGCGCGTGCTCTCTGGTTTGGGGTCGCGACCTGAGCCTCCTCCGAGACGAGCCTGACCAGCGTCAATCGCTTGCCTGGCCTGCGAGACAACCTGAGCAAATATTATATCCTGATCCGCGTATCTTGTTGAGCGAAACGGTTTTGTCGCACGGGTCGCCTCGCTAAATGCTGTAGCTTGAGCCAGGATGAAGAACGATCCATCGTGTATCTTCCGTTTTAGCACATTCCATCGCGTCCTCGCGGGGTTCTTCTCCAATTCCGGGTGATAGATGGACTCCCTCGACAGCCTCGAGTAGAAAGTGCCGAGGCGTTCAGCAGTACGTTCTAGGACCGAAAGCAGGTAAGTACTCAGACTGACCAATCTGTGCTTCTCTGTACCGGACTCGATGCACGCGACGACATCGAAGGCATCCATCCCCATACAAGCATCTTCGCGAATTTCTTCTAGAAATCGGACATCCAACTCAGTCACTGCACGGGCGTATTGCAGAATCCCGTTTTCTTGGAACTGGGCCTGTTGGTTATTGCAGACAAAGGAGCCGATCTGTGCGATTTCCTTCGCAGCATTGGCGGCAGAAGAAGATGCCTGTGCTCTGGTGATGACACCAATGACATCCGGCACCCGAGTTTCGGGTGTGCCAGAGTTGACCAGCGCGAAGGTGAGCTTGAGATGCAGCTCTTGAAGCTTCGCGCCAAACAAGGTTGAAAATCCATTCTGCATCAGCCTCGACTGAAATTGGTAGAATTTCCTCACACCTCCCATGTTGAAGAGGTCGCCCTGAAACCAGGTCCGGGCATCTTGCTGGATGTAGTCCACCTCGAAGTGTAACGTGGTAAGGGCTTCGACACAACTGCGGAGGTATTGATACCAGAGATCATAAATGCCACTGATCTCAATGGATCGGAAATCAGGCTTTGTGGCAAGGTGACCGATGAAATATTTTGACAGTAGACTCATAACCTCTGGGTTTGTAGTATGAGCCACATCGTCAAATGTCTTTGAGGCATCCAGGCCGGCACTTGCTTGGGCAATCAAGGTACCACCAGGGTGGATGGGAAGGAAATCAGTGATGTCGTAAACGCCACCATGAACACCGATGAACATCCTAGACCCTTTTCGGTGGCCAGTATTCAGGGCCAGCTTGGATAGAGGGATTCGTGGAGTGGCATAACTGATAGGACGTGGTGTCATGAAAATGTCCAACATGAAGCGTCTTTCCGCAAATGCTTTGGCAAGCAAGCTGTCCGCCGACTCTTTGGTTGACGCCCAATTCTGATAGATGGCATGTCGAATCCCCGATATGATCGTCTCATACATCGATACGGAGCCACAGACGTAGAGATGGCCTCCGAGCCCTCCTTGACTCTTTGAGATGACAAGATCGCAGACCGTTCGCCCTTGTTCAATTATCGTTGCGTCAAGGTACCGAGGACTCATCTGTTTCTCAACGAGGTCGCGCGACACTGGATCATAAACAAGACCTTTTGTGTCTCTCGAAAATGCAGTGTGGACTTCAATCTGGCCGTTTTGTACATATTGTCGAAGCTCATGCTCGTAGGACAATCGCTCCCGTGACTGTACCCCGAGGAAGAGTATGTTCCTTCCGACACTGGTTTGAGCTCTCGCTTGCCAGAAGCCTCTGAAAGGAGCGATTCCTGAGCCACCTGCAAACATGGCGATAGGCCCGGTCATGGTAACTGGAAGTTGAAAATTGATAGGCCTGGATATCCCAATGAGGTATTCTTCATCATCAAGCATCTCTCCAGAGATGGTAGGATCTGGGTTGAGGCATCCGCTGCTCACCCCATGGCGCCGATTATACGGGGCGGTGGCCTGTAGTATTGGTGCCAGCTGGGACTCCGTGCGAGCGACAGTTAGATCAACGGTGCTCGGCAGCAGCTCGTTTGAGTAGTTGGAGATGCTATAGGTCCGGGGCACCTCGATCGGTATTAATTTCGGAAGCCATGAAAGATCGGACAGATTGAATGCTCGGTCCCATATCGTCGAGGAAACTTCTGCGACTGCAAGTTGGAGCAAGTCTCCTATGGAGCCTTCGACTGGCCACATTTCCGATCCCAGAACTTTCAGCACACTCGATGATGAGGCTCGAAGTACCATATGGAAGGCCATAACTACATCTTTAGTCAAGGGCGCCAAGTGTCCTCGTCGTAGAATATCTTGGACCGTCAGAGAGGGT